GTTTATGTTACTTATTGCTTGTTCCACCCACTAGAATGTAAACTCCAGAAGGTGGAGGGCTGATCCTGTTTGTTCATCAAGTATCCTCAGTGCTCAGAACACTGCCCAGCACTCCACAGAGCTAGGTAAGTATCTCTGTACAGATTAGTTCCAGGAACTCTTTAGCCATCCTTGATTAGCAGAAACGGAATGTCCACAACAGGCTCAGACTCTTTTAAGAGTCTGAGAAGTGGGGAAAGAATTGCAATCCCAACCAAACACCAACGGCTATCACTGGATACCTTATTTCCACACCTGTGATCTCGAGAGAGACAAGTTATTTCCCCTTGACCTGGCTTACTTACCTTTCGTGAAGCCAAGAACTCCATGCCTTTCGCCACTTGGAAGCTGTAACAGATGAGATGCTCCAAGGTCAGGAAGTCCTTGTACAGATCTTCAGGAGCTGTCCAAAGAGGCAGGAGGATGGAGATCAGTATTCCTACCAGTTAGTGTGGTTTGTTCCTAAGTTGTTAGAGTAACGAGCTTTTCGAGACACAGGGATTAAATTTCAGGAAATAGAAGTAGGGAGTAAATGCTTTAACTTCTGTAAGTTTGCTGAGTCCCGGTGTCCTTAGCCTTCAACATACACCTTAGGGAAAATACTGGTTTTACCACTGGTTTTATCCAAATTAAGCCAATAAATCCAGGAGGTAGAAACAGAGGTAAAATTGGCATAGGTAACAGGAAAAGAAAGAGGACATTTCCAAATTTGCTGTTTTAAGCTGCTGTTTTTTTGTCGTGTACTCAGAGGGATAAACAATAGTTTTTATAGCAAGAGCTCTAAAAATAAACCAATATTCAGGGTCATTGAATCTTTTCTCTCCAGGCTTTGTCCGAGGATGAAGACCAAAGGTCAAACTACAATCTACAATGGATAACTAAAAATATCCAAAATGTTTTTTTCTTCTGTCACCTTCAGACTTACACAAGTGCTGTAAATACATTAAATCTTGTCTACAAGGATGTTTTTTCCTTCAAGGATGTGAATGAGAGATAACAGGAAAATGGAGAGAAAGATGAGTTTATGTGGAGTGGTGGTATTTACTTCAGTGCAACTGGTACAAATAAACACTAAGACATCAATGGGTGTTTCAAAATGATCTCTTAACTTTGGTCAGATAAGATAAGACTTACGGCTTCTTTCCCGGGAACAAATACCAGAGGAAACAAAAACTTAGTTGTAACAATAATCTCTAAGTATTAAAAAGTCTGCAAGCCTTTTTCTCAGTAACTTGTTATGTTATGCTTAGGCTAAAGGGCTCCTAGAGAACAATCAGTGAAACCTCCTCATTTTCCAGCTGTAGAAATGCAGGTTAGACTCCAGGCCAATGCTCTTTCTACACCAACACACTGCCTCAATCCCTTACATTTCTAGCTCACTGGATGCCATTTTTTGAGAGGGACGGAGCACGGTCCAGACAGCACCACTCAGGCCTGGACAACCTCCCCAGGTGCTCCTAGTCCAAGTCCTAGCCTCACACCACCTGCTCAGCTTGTAAGATAAAGAATCTAAGTGTAAGTCCTCTGTATAGGCCCATGTCAAGGAAAACAGTGTGTTTCTCCCACTCTGTCCTGACTGGGTTCTTCACTCCTCAAGAGGAGCCCAAGGCCAGGGACCCCCATCTCCACCTACACTCCTTCTGGGAGGAGCGGGCATGCAGTGTACCTCAGAGCTGGCTGACATCCTGACAGTAGGCTGGGCCACAGCTCTAAAGAGCACTAACATTTCCTGAGAACATGACCAAAGAAAGACAGTGCATGTCCTGAGCCCCCGCTGAGGAGGAGCAGCAGGAGCTATTTGTCGGGGTGAGGGGGGCAGGAGCAGCAGGTGGCTCCTGAACTGTGGGGGAGTTGGGTGTGATGAGCAGAGACTCCTTGTGTGCTGGTGAAGCTTGCAACGCGGGCTGAACCACTGGGGCTGGGGCCTTGGCCTCTCCCACTAGCAGTGCCGAGCCAGTACTTCAAGAGTGTCGCTGTGGTTGTCACCGATGCCCAGCCCACCTGTGCTGCCCATGTTTTTCAGGCTACCACTGCTTTGCCTCCCAACCTAACCCACTGCTCCATCAGGGCTTCCACACTTCCCTTTTGGGGAGACTGGATGGAGGCAGGCAAAAAATTCAGATCTCTCTCAGATAGATAGTATCAGATGGTTCCTATGACTGAATTCCTTGTGTCACCTCGTCTACTGCTGCAAGAGCAACGGATTTGAGCATGGAGGGAGCCCTGGCAGGTACCTTCCTCTTCCTCCACGTCACTGAGGGACTTCTCCTCCACAAACCCGGAGCTGGCGGAGCTCTGGCTGCTGGTGATGCTGTCCAGGCGGCGTTTCAGATCCACAGGGGTTTCCCCCACGTAGTCTTTCCCCTGACGGAACCGGGCCCCTTTGGACTATAAAGAAGCAAAAGAACAAACAAACTCCTTGAATACAGAACAGGCCTCCAAAAAGCACTGAACTGTGGAAACAATTAAAACCATTAAAAAACGGGCAGAAAGGACGTCGGGTGTAGAAGCATGTCGTCTGTGGGCTGAAATCTGGGGCACATTTTTGTACACAATAGGGTTTCTTCCATAACATCTAGCTCCTTCTTTAACTTCTAGAGATAAATGCCTCATTTCAAGTTCATGTAGACAAGCTTCCAGCATTAGGGTGTTTTTTTACAGAGGCACTTACACTCCCCAGGGTCCAATATGGCTGGGGGAGAGAATGACCCAGAGTGGCCTTCCTTCTGTCCTTTCCTTTCCTGGACTGCACTCGCCTTCTCCCCAACTCCCACACTCTGTAATGGGGCAGTGGCTTAAGGTCACAAAAATAAAACATGACAAGCATACGTTCCTCCAGAAGGTAAAAGAGGAAGTACAACAGCCAAGAGGTAATGTGAGATTTCTCAAAATTCAGAACCTCAACTAAAAAACTGGCCTGAAAAACAAAAACCAACCCCTAACCTGTACCCTTTGAGTTTCCTTCATTTTATAACACTGCCAGGGTCGAGTTAGGAAACAACATACCTTGTAGGGGACAAATTCATTTCTCTTGCTCCTTAAGTAAGTTGATAGGTTTCCAAACTTGCAGAATTCCACAATGACCATGAGGGGCCCTGCAGACAGCACAGCAGGTCAGGAAAGGACAAAGTGGTTTTTCACTCTCACCAAGTGCTTAATATTTCGATGAACCCAAAACACCTTAGAAGAAGGATGCAAACTTAGAGACCAGCTGCCCCCATCCCCTTCAGTCATAGCTCTTTTTTCAAAAGCAATTCACAATGAGATTAGCCAAAATTTCAGAAGAAAATCCATCTACTTGCTTTCAATGCAATCACTTAAGACAGCGATTTTTCAACCAGTGGGCTGTGGCTCTTAGGTGTGCCATGAAAATTTTTAAAGATCATTAAACTATTTTTGAAAGAAGTTCAAAGCGAAGTAAGTATATTCTTTTTTTTCCACTCTTTTTTTTTTTTTTAGATCAACATAATTTAACTGTGCCATGGAAGTTTAACTATAGGTTTTAACTATAGGTTCAAGTGTGTCGTGAGATAAAAAACGTTATCAGTGAAAGCACTGAGTTGACAGGACTCCACTTGGAGGGACCTGATTTTAAAGTCCTTTGCTTTCAAGTGTTTTGGGAAGTTTAGTTTTCTCATCTGAGCATCAGTTACACAAGTTGCAAACTCTATCATAGTGGGGAGATATTTTTTAATTCAGAGGAAGCTTTAGAATTAACTATAATGCCCATTAAACCTCCTCTGTGAATTCTATTTTTATGTAGGAATCTGGGAAGTTTTCTAAGTTAAGAAAATCAAGGCCATGGGAGTTAAATAATTTCCCTCAAATACTAGCAGAGAAGCATGTGCCAAGATTAGGCAACCCAAACCATCAGTGTTACTCACCTCCCGGCTTGGTGCAGGCCCCGAGGAGGTTGACCACGTTGAGATGGTGGCCGATGTGAATCAGGATCTTGAGCTCAGACATGAGGGCTCGGTGCTCACTGTGTGTTGCTCCTTCTACCGACACAGGGCAGAGAGGGAAATCACAGGTGCAGGGGTCACCTCGGGATGACTGACGCCCTCTCACTACCACCCATCACTGTGCCATTTACGCTTCAGGGTGATACAACGAGTGACCTAATTTGCAGACTAGGTGAATTTCCTCATAAGTCAAATGTAAATCCTATTTTCTAATTTGAAATAAAATTCATACCTTAAATGAACCCAGATGTTTACAGAAAAGAATCTACTGTGAAGTCTTTTTGCAAAGCAGAGAATACATCCACGTGGGCTCACGGCCAGTCTTTGCTTCTTCAGAACTGGGCTTTCATATTTCAGGCTTACTGTGCTTCTTAGGTCTGATCATTTCAATGCTTCCTCATAAGGAAGCAACACCATGTATTAAATATCCTCATGTTTTAGAGGCTACACTGAATGTTCCAGCCGATCTGTGCCAATCTGTTCAGGCAACTTAACAAGGGCCAGCTGGCAAGGCCAGTTGGCACCATTGGCTGACAGCACAAAGCCTGTGCGTCTGATCCTGTACACACTGCTACACCTCCCTCTGATTCACAGGCACAGTCCACACCTCAGGCCCTGATGAGCTGCCTCAATCTCACACACACCCTCAGCTACACACAGAAAAGGCAGAAGGAGCGCTGGCTTCAGGGCGCACCTGTGGGCCAAGGTTCAGCAGCACTGTCTCCAGTGAAAGCACATCCCAGAGGGAGTAAGAAGCTGTATGTGCATCACTCCCCCAAACTGGAACAGCTAGACCGAAAGTCCATTACTGCTAGGACTGACAATTACTTGTGCAGCTTTTTCATTTAAAAAGAAATCACCCATAATCCTTTCTTCCTAGCACACTCATTCTTTTTTTGCAAATTATCTTTTATATATGAAGTTCTTTTATACATTCCAATCCCAGAGAACATGTTTTTGCTTTTTATATTCCTCTCCATGTTTCTAGTTGGTCTATAATTATCCTACCCCATAATATATTAAGAAATAATTTTAACATAACCACAGTATTTTTTCCCCTATAATCAGGACCACTGAGCACAACTGTGCTAGCTGAGCCCTGACAAGGGCACCCAGACAAGGGAGGTGAAACCCTCCCCACGTGCCAGGCCACGTGCCCTGGCGTGAGGCTACAAAGGAGGGGCCTTTGTGCACTTTGCACGTGGGGTTATACAGGCTGCTGCATGCTTGGCTGGTGGGCCCACCTAAGGACAGAGCCACCAAAACAAGCCTCCATCACATAGAGAGACTGGATAAAACACAGAGAGTGACACATCACCGTATAGTTTGGTTTTTACCTTTCAACATTTTGACGGCCACGGTCCTGCAAGTTGCTGTCTTATCAATTCCAAAGGCATCTGCTTCAATCACCTGGCCAAAGGCACCACGTCCAAGAGGCTTGCCTGGAGTCAACAATAACGGCAAAGACAAAACACACTTGATTATTACACCACCAAAGTGATATTCCAACTAGACGGGGTGACTCTACGTCCCAGTTTAACAGGGTGATCCACTGTGTGCCCTTGTCTCAGCTTTATTATTTAATAATTGCTCCTTGGCTCTCCAAATGTCCTGTTTGACATGGTCCTATAGGGACCCGGCTTCAACTGACTACATGAGTGATTCCCCAAATTCAAGAGATGGAATTAATGTTCCAGAACTCAACCTCAGAATAGACTACATGTGTCATTATCCTAATGGGAGATGAGATGGCCTTATAAACCCAATATGAAAATAATAGCAATTGAAAAACGCACCCAGTTTCAGCCTGTCTCTGGGAAATTCCCATTTGTTGGCATCGTAAGGCAGGCGTTCACAATGCTCGTCCAGGGGCAGTTCATCTGGGTCCATGACGATGGACAAGTAGCCCGTCTTCAGCTCCCCTCCGCTGGCCTGGAAAGCATCAGTCGCCCCAGTAACACCCCCTGCCGCCCGCCTGCTGTTTACGCCCCTGTTGCTGTTTACAGCAGCCTCATTCCTGAGGTCATTTTCTAATAACACTCACGGGGTTTGAGAGTGGTTCTATTATAATCCTGCTTCTAGTGTCCCTTTCTCCCCCAGATGAGCTCAGAATTAAGTTTTAAAATCTTAATTACACCAGACAGTCCAAGCCCCTTTCCCCTCTAGTGGCTTCTATCAATTAAAGCCCTGAGGTGCAGCCAAAAAAAGTGGGCAAGAATGTTATTGTATTGAAATAAAAATGCCCCCATTGAGCCAATGACAATGGGAAGAAACAACTCAAAGGGCCCCAGTCATCTCCATTAATCATTAAAACCAACGTGCGTGAGACAGAGGGAAATTATTTTGTTACCCGCTTAACGGTCCGTAGGATGATGACAAGAAGTAGCCAGAAGAACATGGCGATCACCGCAGTGCCGACCAGGATGATGACCTCCAAGTTTGTCTTCTCCTGGGCACCTGAACAGACACAAATGAATGTCAGCAGGTGGAAATTCAGATCTTTTGATATAAGACAACAACGTTCAGCATGAAATTAAGATCTCATGAAACTCTTAGAAAAATTGGAGAAATCCTAAAGGACAATAGTCACACACCCCTCACCTGGATGAGTCTACAGGATTCTTTTATTGTTGTTGTTGTTGTTGTTTTTAGCTGGCTGGGGCTGGGTTCGAACCCACCACCCTCTGTACATGGGGCCGGCACCCTACCCACTGAGCCACAGGCACCACCCACTCTACAGGATTCTTAATGAGAAATTCAAAGCTTGCAAAATATTACTCACAAAACCTTCCAACAATAAAATTTTAAAGTAACAAAGGATAAAAGTATTAATATCTTAAAAGACAAATGTAGAAAGTGTTTGGAGGAAGAACAGTCTTTGATGGGAAGAAAACAGATCATGTTCTACAGAGGAGAAAAGCATTTCTATTTGGGGAAATAAAACTGTGGTTTTATGCTGATAGTCGACATTTTGAGTTATGCAGAGTTTGTAAAAGGGCCGGGTAAGAAGTCAAAAAATTGAAGTCCTTCGACTAGAAAGCTACTGATTACCACATACCTACTGTGCCCTCATTGCCATAATATATTTTCCCACTTAACCTTCTCAACTTTCAGTCTTAAAAGAAGAAACAGAAGATCAGAGAGGTTAAGCAGCTAGAACCAGGACACACAGCTAGTTGGTGGTCCAGTCAAGGGTTAAACAAGGTCTGTCCAACATGAGCTAACAATTACAGACACTACCTGGGTCCCTGAGTGGCAGGAGCCTGAGTGAGGAAAAGAGAGACAGCTGAGATGAGCACATCATGCACCGCCTGGTAATAGGAGTTTCAAGAGAACAGAAAACTAGGAGTCAGCAAGGAAAACTCAGATGCTCGAGACCCCAGAGAACAGCTCTGAGCAGGAGAAAGCAAAGGCAGGAAGGTTTTCCACTAAGAGTGAAGAGAGAGGGGGTATGGAAGCCATCATCACGGGGGTGGGTCGGGGGTGGGAGGTTCTCCCATCAGAAGAGCAAGCGCAGGGGGATGAAGGGCCCCTGTGCCTCCCGAGGGCAGAAGCTAAGTAACAAATTAGTCCGCAAAATAAGAGATACCTGTTATGAGACAAGGACCAAGTATGCTGAGAATAGGTTTCGTTTCTCTGGTGGTCTCAGCAAAGTAATTCTTTACACTAGAATTTTAGAAGTCCATTTGTGCACAAAGGGTAAAAAGTTCACACAAGTGAACTTTTCTAGAACTAGAGTATAAATGTTTTAACACAATAACTAAGTAAATGACATAAAGTCTATGTTAACCAGCTTGATGAAAGTATTTCAAATTGTATATGAAAACACTACACTGTACCCCATGTTTGCATTAATATATACAGCTATCATTTAATTAAAAAAAAAAGGTAAAAAGTTCATAGAGTCCATTTTCTATACAAGTTCATGTCTGAATATTTTCACATAACGTTTGGAAGCCTAGTGGGAGGATTCCTTTCTTAGGACTCTCTCCAGGTAGGAAGGAGCTACGAGGTCTATGCCTCTGCTACCTCCTGAGGCACCTGTAACAGCCAAGGGGGTGGGGCAGAGCACCCAAGGGTGAGGGAGCAGGATCTCCCAAGGGAATGTGTTTCCCTTTGGAAACGTAAAAACCACCCTGTCCTCTGAAATCTGCATTTGTAAGTGCGGTTTATGAAATGGTAATGAGCCTACAGATTTGCAAACGCATCACTGTATCTCCATGCAACTTGGCAAGGACTGGACAGATTAAAGGGATCGAAATCCAGACTTCAAGAGACAAGTCGGGATGAGCTCACTGAAACCCGCAAGTCTCCCTCTGTCCCCTCCGTCTTTCTTCCTGGTGCCTGCCATTCCCTGGCCCTCACAATGCAGTTGTATTGTTCTTTCAGTGGGTTATTAAAAAAAAGATGTAGGAATACACTTCTGAAGATAAAATATTCTGACACAAATTACTTCTCCTATCTGAGAAAATGCCATATTTCACATCACTCCTTGCATACACATATAGGTTTCCTTTCATATTTAGATAAGAGGCAAAAATTTTCCATTTCAGAAAAACAATGGCCTATTGTTCACAAGTGAATCTTAATTATCTTTAGTTCAGTGGAAACTCTGAACCCTTGCGAATATAGGACGGCGTTTACCTTCACAACTAGGCAGCGATTCTAATATTTTTCCAAATAAATAAATATACAGGTATCATCTCGGTAAGTTAATTGAGCCATTCAAAGAATCAGGGCAAGGAAGATATTTTAAGAATTTTTCCATAGTAAGAACTCTAAGGATAGGAAATTGGATGCAAGCAGAATCATAACAACATTCATTATGTTATCTGGCTCAGAGAATACACACTTCTTGAAGAAAAGTTATGGGGGACAAAGAAGATTAAAAATCATCTCTAGTCATCCCTCCCAAAGTGTGCGGGTGGATATAAGGTACAGACTAATCACACACCCAACGTGCCTATGATTAGTTTTTCCACTGACCTTCTATTATGAAAAAGGCTTCCACTTTTGCACAGCCCAGAACATTGCAGGCCTGGCAGGTGTAGAGGCCCTCATCCTCCTTCCTCACTCTGCGGATAGTAAGGTTCCGGTTCCCGTCTTTCAGGACAATGCCTAAGGCAGGAGAAACATGATTATTCTTATTTATAATGATGTGGTCTGTGGAGTTTTCCAGAAATTTTTATTTTTTTAATATAAATGCTGCCCTTCACACCTTGGGCTATTATCTAACTCTGAAAAATTACATAGGCTCTACTGCTGACTCATCTCCCATGGGGCTTCCACAGAATTAAACAAGTCTCCAAATATTCTGAATCCAAGTCTATGAAATGAGCCAGACCACAGACATTAATGCTGCTTACTTTTTAACCTTAAAATAAATTGAGAGATGATATGGGTTTTATGTAACATCCCTGGGAAAACTCTGCAGCCAAAGAAACAGAGACAAATTCTACTTACCTGAGTCTTCTACGAGGGTTTCATTATCTTTAAACCAGGTAATCTGTGGAGGGGGATTCCCAGACGTTATGCATGAAACCTCAATGGTTTCACCAATATTTGTCGTCTGATTGTCCAGGTTTCCTGTGATCATGGGTGTCATACGCTCTAGGCATATAAAAAGAAAATCATGGAACACACAGTTATAACTGGGAATGATTTTTAGTATCAATACATTTTTAAAGCAGTTTAAACTTAGTAAACAGTTGCTTGTGTTTACTCAGCTGCAAATACACAGAGGCTGATGACAGCACTGGCCACTGGGTATGGTTAGAGGAAGCAAGTCAGAGAGAGGAGCGAGAGGACTCGTGTTTTGAACGTTCCTGTCAACGATTCTAGCTGGTAACCACATTGCTACATCAAGGTTCAGGGTCACCTTTATGGATTTTCCTCTAATCAGACATGGCTTCCCAATAGGGAAACATCCGTCCCATGAAGGTTCTAGCCAATGTAGAATGCCGCCATGTTTTTTCTCGGAAAGTGCCAAACTTCCATTAGTTCAACAAAGAAGACCTTGTATTTATTTCAAAATTTTTTAAAAACTTGTTTATATGATTTTTGTTCCTCACCATGAGTCTTATGTGACAGGAAAAACAGGACCCCAGTGTTACTTCACAGGTGAAATAACTGAAGTGCAGGGGCAGTTAAGCAACGTGGCACAATTGTTTAACTGCTCCTAGAAGTTAAGGGTATGGTTTAACTGTTTACTGAACCTACTAAGTCCAAAAGATTGGTCCAGTGCTATTTCTGCTAAAATACAAACAAACCAAACAATGCCCTCCTAAGAAACGTCATGGATTTAAGGAAAATGAAGCCCTCGAGTGTTTGTCCAAATGGACAGGAAAAGTTTAGATTCACCCTTTCCCCAAATCATCAAAGTGCTGTGCAAATATCTTGTTCAAATCAACTGACCTTCCAAAGGGATCATGCGGAAAAAATCCACTTTAACACTCTAGCAAAATGAGATTACCTCAACAGTGTGCCACACTGGGGTTTAAGCAAATGTGCTGGATTCTAGTCTATTTCTAAGAATAGATTTTAGGGAAAAAGATGGGCGTCCTCAGAGGAGCAAATCCACGGACTGTGAGCACATACCCCTGTACCCCTGGGTGTGGCAAGGCTCAGCATCCCTTCACAATCTCTTTCTGACTTTTCCCATTAGTTTGAAACCAGACCACCCACCAACGTCAACAGAAAGTACACGGTGATACATGTGTTGTGATCTGAAGGGTCCTAGAGAAACCTGACCTCAAAATATCTCTTCTTCTGACACTTGAGTCTTAAACACAGTAAGCCTTATGCTAGTAGGTATCAGTGGACAGCTCTGAAAATATATCAAGGCCTCTGAGGAAGATATTATCCCTCTAAAACTTCAGTGTAGATAAACTCACCTGGGCAGATCCCCTTCCTAACAGTAAAAAACAAGAGTACACACTCATTGTAGGGACTGGGAAGAGAAGAAAATGCAGAGGGAGCAGCACACAGAGCAGCGGCACAGACCTGCAGAGGCAGGGCTGCCCATCCCTGGTGCAAGGCACAAGGTTGGAAAGGTGTACAGAGAGGCTCCATGGGGAATTTATGAAGCTATTTGTTCATTAAAATTATCATCCCATTGACCTTGAACTACAGCTGACCACATGGGATGGCCCAGAGGCAAGGCAGTGAGTAGTGTGTACACTACTTTGCAGGGACTCGTCCAGGTCCTGAACTCAGCCCATCACCCCCGTCTCCACACAGCAGTCAGTATAAGCTGCACCCAGTGTGTGCCGCTATGTTCTGTGACCAGAACTACAACAGGGAGCCAAGTAGAGATCAATCCTGCCCTCACGGACTCAGAGACCTCACTGTGCTCTGACCTCCCAGGGGCTGCCTGTGCTCCCATCCCACCCATCTTGTTCACCACCATGCATTTCTGGAACCCTCTCTAGTTCATCGCAGGCATTCCACAAATGTGCACGCCAATGCCCAGGAACACGGCAGAAATTTTCCAGTTTCAAGCTCATACCTTGCATGTACTTGAGTTACCCCATCATCAGAGTTGAAAGGAACCATGTTATTTTCTTTTTTAATATATCATTTCACCATTGCTACCTTTTTCTGCCTCAAGCACGCTCTACTTCCTAAGCTCCTAGAGAATGGTAGTTTTTGCACAGAACCCCAAACCACAGCCATTCCAACCACCTCTAGAAATGATCTGGAGTGCCAGACGGCCTCCCTACCTAGAACTGTGAGCTGCTTGACCACACAATGTCTTTTCTTGGTCTTCCTGTCTTGAGCAAAGCAGACGTAGTCTCCTTGGTCCTGCAAGGATGCATTCTGGAGTTCCATGATCAAAATGTCATTTGTGCTATTAGAGAACATCGTGGCATTCAATTTCTGAAGAGTATCCAGGTTCTTGCAAAGAGGCGTGGGCAAGTCTCCGACGTGGATCGGCAGAGCTGGTGAGCCAACCCTGTACCATGTCAGGTTCTCAAACATAGTTCTGTCTGCACTGCACCACAAAGACACACTCTCCTGCTCAGATGGCTGGGTGCCAGGCTGCAAAGTAATTTCAGGACCCCCTGAAATGTAAAGCCACAGTTAGAGGGTGGGGACCTCAGTCGCTGCAGCACACTGTCATCTTCAGGCTGCTCTAAAGGACCCAAAAAAGCTCTAGCAATCTCAGACGATGAAAAGGACACAACCAAGCTAGACAGTTCAGGTCCCCAAAATTATTTGACTGAGATGTGAATTAATTTTCCCCAGATATTTATCACATAAACTTATCTGAGCTCTAAGCAAAGTGTCGGGGATAAGAAAAAACAAAATCCAAAGCAGAGCATCTAATCATGACACAGAATTTTTAAAAACTTAGCTCCTCTCTAACACAGAACACTCAGTGCTGGTAAAGCTACATTTATTCCAACCAATTAGCCCAGACTAAAATGTTTTATTCAACTGGACACGGTGGCTCACGTAATTCTAGCACTCTGGAAGGGTTACTAAATACACCCACACACTTTGGGTGGGATGACTAGGGGTGATTTTTTAATCAGAGTGCTTAGTAAGTCAAAGCACTCTGGCACTCTTTGTGCCCAAGCTCAGAAGTTTGAGACCAGCCTCAACAAGAGCGAGACTCCATCTCCACTAACAATAGAAAAACTAGCCGGGTATCATGCCAGGTGCCTGTAGTCCCAACGATTCAGGAGGCTGAGGCAAGAAGATCACTTGAGCTCAGGAGTCAGAGGTTGTTGTGAGCTAAGATGACACCATGTCCCTCTACCCAGAGCAACAGGGTGAGACTCTATCTCAAAAAAAAAATAAAAGAAAAGAAAATATTTTATTCAGTATCATTAGCTAAGGCCTGTCTTCAAAATTAAAGACCATAGGCAAAGCCAGCAGCACTGGGAAGGCACAGCTCCTAAGTCATTCTGAACACTCCCGGAGAGCCCACACGCGGTCGAGCTGCAAGCTCCGGGACACAGCCCCATGCCAAGCACCAGCCAGACCCCCAGGACCGAGGCGCAGATACGACACAGAGCTTGTGGTTTAAGCCATCTGTGAAACCATTCTCTCTCTACTGACTTCACACAGGCCCAGGAGATAGCTGAGGAGTTATGAACTTTTAATTTACGAACATTTAATCTATGAACAAAAGCATCACATTATCAATCTAAGCTGTCTTCCTCAATGCCATGCCCCTCATGAGACTGGCAAGGACCACAGCTCCTGCCCACTCTTTCAGTGACCTGACCCCCCATCCAGAGAAGTGACTTACTGGTCACGTGGAAGGGGATGACCCTCTCTCCTCTCCCGACTTTGTTGACGGCCTCACATTTGTACAAAGCTGACACATTTGCCGCTTGGACAATCAGAGTACTTACAGTCTGTGGGAAAACACAAATCCAGACCGTAAACAACGCGGCTCGTTTGTGCTTGTGCATTCAGACTCAAATTCAGCAGCACCCCCACGGCTCTGACCCGCCCGCTTCACTCCCACTTCCCCACTGCCCACTCTCAAATTTACAAAATCACAAGGCTGACAATCCCTTGTTCAAAATGCCTGGAACCAAAAATGTTTGAGGGTTTTTTTGTTTTTTCTTGGTTTTTTTTATAGATTTGGTACATTTGCATAATATATTTACTAGTTAAACACCCCTAATCTAAAATTCATAATGCTGAAGAAAAGAGCATTTCCCTTGAGTGTTATGTCGACACAAAAAGTATTAGATTCTGTAACATTTCAGATTCTGGATTGGGGTAGCAAATCTGCATAAGTAAAATGAGCTTTGGAGACCATGAAATTAATGGTGTGTTTTCATATAATGATACACATTTTCTCATTCTCCTGTTTATAAAATCAGAATCACTTTACACAAATGTATGATTGAATGACATGGGTATTTTTTTTCTGATAAGCTATTAAGAAATTAATAGTACTGTTAAAAGCCAATGATGTTTTCAAACTGATTTTAAAATGCCAGCATTTTATTACACAGACTCTTTGATTATTGATCTCCAATATGCCTCACATACAATTGTACCACCCTTCCATTAAAGAGAGAGATTTTCAAATCATAAAACTTCAAACTCACTTTGTTTTTCCCTTCGACTAGGGCATATTGATTTTTGCTGACTTCCATTTTATTTCCCCCCTGGAAGTCCTCCACTCTCCTCCACTCCTTACAAGCATATGGGTTTATCATTGAGACAGCTTGGCTGTAGGAAAGACAGATTATGTCAGAATTCAATTTTTCTTTAATTCAAATCAATAGTAAGGAAAAGGGTCAGACTTTGGTCTCTCTGTTCTTAGAAAGGACTTTCAAGGTGGCCTACCACATGACGAGACTTGGTGCCAAATAAAAACAGGCCTGGGTAGGGAAGGGAAAGGTTCTAGGTAGACTCATTCAGGATATAGGAGGGAAACAGCTATTCTGGGAACAAACCTTCATTCATAAATTGGATCGACAAGACAATTCAAGTTAAATTAGTTCAAAGGAAGAAAGGAAACTTAGAAGCCACTGGGCTTCTGAAAGCAATGTCTCTGGCCCCACAGCCTCTGTGAAGGAAATGGTCGGCCACTGAGAAAGAAGCCAGTTGCAACCCTTTCGAAAACAACAACAGGAAGTGGACTGCTTAGGGTGGCGGTGGGCCGGCTGTCGTGGCTGTGCTTTCCCTGAGGATGTCTGGGCTTGTGTTAGAACGTGATAAGCTGGGACCCAGAAGCTGAGGGCTGGGGCTGGGTCGTGTCTGCCTCACACCCATCAGAACTTCCTCAGGGACACAGACAAGAAGCAGCCATGTGGCACTCACTAGCTGATCGGTACAAGGAGAAAAACCCACGAGTGGCAGGCAGCCACCTGGGCAGATCAGCCCTGCATCTGGGGAAGTGTACATCAGGGCTAACCTACTGAGAGAGCTAGCTAACCCCGTGGGGGATATCCCAACCAAAGACACAGTAAGAAGGGCGATTCAGAGTACCACTTGTGGGGAAACTTTCTTATGGACAGCCTTGTGGGTTCAGAATAGAGCACAGCATGGCTTGGCCATAAGAAGTGCAAGATGGCAGGACAGGAAGAGTGGTGCCTGCTCACCTGGACACGGCGGGGCACTCCTCCTCCAGCTGCCAGTACCAGCGGATGTGGTACGCAGGAGGGACAGCATAGACCGTGCAGGTCAGCGTCTGGGTGCTGCCATACTGGTAAGAATCCACAGGAGAGATCAGAGACTTCTCACCAATCTGGGGTGGGACTGAACATAGGAAAAATAACTTTTGGATTGTCAATCAGCTTTGAAGACTGAAAAGCAGAGGATTTCAGTAACTAAAGCTGACCCTTTGTTAAGCACATGATTCTGACCCTTCTTTCAATTTCAAAGAACATCTAGATTTGGAAACAGATCTGAGTTCTAGCGACACTCATAAAACTAACAATAAGCCATTAATAATAATAAGTGAATAAACCAAATGACTTCAGGCAAGACTCCCAAGCCTGTGCCTTCGTTCCACTCATCTGCGTTAGAGACGGTTGTCTGTCCTCCCATCTTGCAAGATCAGAGTGAGACAACAGAAGGAAAATGGCTGAATAACATCACACATTTATTACGTGTCCAGCATTGTTCTAAGTGGTTTGCTCTAAGTCACTTAATCCTCACAACCACCATCACTGTCCCCATGATACAAAGAAGAAAAATGAAACACAAAAAAGTTAAATGACTTGCCCAAAGTCCCCCAGCGAACAAACTTAGACACTCTGACTTCTGAACCAAAGCACTGAACTGCACAATGGAGGAGGTTGTCAGTCTTCACGGAGTCACGCTGCCACCACCAGCAGAGCTTCTCACCGCCTCTCCTCCTTTACTTCTCCTCCCTTCCTCCTCACTGGTCTCCCTTTTTTTCTTTCTTTCTTTTTTGGCTCCAAAGTCATTAGTGCACAACTATTTCCTTATTGCTATCAACCTAAAGCCCTAGATTATACATTCAAAACCTGACCTGCTTTTTAAGTTTATTTCACATCGGAGTAAGTGCCAGGGAGAGTCAGATGCTCAGTAACGTCATAAACTGATGAGATGTGTCCTCACTGCCCATTTTCCTGTGTTTATTTCATGTTCATTTTTTTCTCTCATCCTACTTACAAGCTTTCCAGCCCCCCCCCCCGCCCCCCTAGCTCTCCACTCCCAAGCTGCTTCTAAGCAACCTTTCTGGAACCTGTTATCTTTAAAATATTCCCTGAAAAGAGAAATTAAGCCAAGCTCCCCAGGCATACAGACCACCTGGGGAAGCACCTTCATATCATAAGAGAATACCCTGAAGTGTCAACACACCATGCCAGGAGGCAACACAAAACCTCGGCGGGGATGTGACTCTCAAACTGTTTGGAACAAGATATTAATAGAGTACTGGGAAAGTACTCTTGTCATATACATTTGTTAAACCTCGAATACTCTACGTCTCTCCCCTTGAAGAATGGCAATGTTCAAGGTCCTGAGAAGTCCTGCAATAAAGAAGCCTGTTTTATGTCAGCTTAGTCCCTCCCACACATCCTTCTCCTCCCACCCAAACATTTGTTTATGTCTTTCAGCTTGAGAAAACAAAGTTCAAATCATCCCTAAATCAAAAACGTACTATCTTCCCTTTACAGATTCAGAGTCAGATGCTAGACCCCTGTCAAAAGAAAAGAAAAAGACTCCAACCAAGTCAATGGTGTCAACTTCAAAAGGCTTCAGGGTTGAAATGTGCCCATGATGCTGCACCAACTACAACATCAAGCCAGAAGCTTCCCACAAAATCCAAGGAGAAGAGTTCTGCACATCTGCATGCCAGGTGTGCCCAAAGAGGCAGGGTACCCCAGCTCTCCCTACGCTGCACGGTCACGGTAATGGAGCTTGGGCTTCACAACTGTCCCTGCAGGCATTCGTCTCTCACGGCATTTGGCCACCAGTTGCACCATCCACTTTAATCTTGCATTTGATGGCCACACCACAGGCCTACACAGCCTCTCACACAAACGTCGCTAGAGCACACTGGTTCACATCGACTTCAGCTCCCCCACCCAGGATCATTTCACACACATGGGCCCCGTCATGGTGTCGGACAAGCAGCAGGAGACAAAGGAAGGTGGCATGGTGGCTTAGGGAGACACAGTCACACTCTTCATGATGCATCTTGGGCAGAGAGGAAACCCGTATGAACTCACCATTCACGGCCAGGGACACCATGTGGCTCTGCTTGTCCTTTGAAATGGGGTTGGTCAGGATGACGGTGTAATTTCCTGCGTCTTTTTCACTCACTTCCATGATTGTCAGTGCATGCCCCACTTTAACTGTGTGATTGGACTCAATGAGTCTTCCGTTTTTATACCTATAGGAAAAAAATTCTCAGGACTGAGAACCAGCCAAGCCTGTACCTTCATGTGAAACAATGCTGTGGACTTATTCGCGCAGTTACCATTTTATTTCAGGAGCTGGGTATCCAAGGCACTTCACCGGGATCCTGACGTACTCCCCAACCGAAGCTTCCACCAAAGACTCCATGCCACTGTCAAAAGCGACAAAAGGTTTTTCTGGAAGAAAATAAAAATAATTATTCTTGTAAATGTCAACTTACTGCTGTTATTTGGTTTTATTATTTAAAGGGAAAAGTCAAAGACCTTGGGAGGTTCTGAGCAGCACAATTCTGAGATTGCCCACACTCCCTTTAGAAGGGTCACCGTCCAGCGTCTTCCTGTCTTTGCATTTGCTTTTCTCAGCCTCCTACTACACACCCACAAGCTTACTGATTTCTCAGGACTCAACTCCAGCATTCACTCCTAGTGCAGTTTTCTCTACATCCCCAGGGC